CCAGTGATATTAGTCAAGTGCTTTCGTAGCAGTTTCGTTCGTTCCACTGTGAGGACAATGTGACATTTTGGGAGGGGAGTATTGATGGGCCAGTTGATTTGATTGGGATGAAATTAAGAAATTTCCTAATCAAGAGGGAGCTATTTAGAAAGGTTCTTAATCAAAGGGAATTAATTAGGAGATGTTTCTTAATTGAAGATGGATGATTTGGGGGTTGATTTTGAGGGGATTAATTAGGAAATATTTAAAGATGACATATTTGAGGTTTGATTTGGAGGGGATTAATTAGGAGATGTTGCCTAATTCAAGAGGGCATATTTGAGGGCTGATATGGAGAGGAAATAATTAAGAAAGTAGGGCATATTTGATATTGAGGGATGTTTCAACTCTGTCGTTGTCAGGTTCCAAGTCCTGGATGAGAAAAGTGGAGAGTTACATTAGGTAGTCGACAACTAGTGTAAAACTTATCGAATAATCATGACATGAATCTTTTAAAAAATTATGTTAATGTTAGGGCGTCCCCTGGAAGCGACGCGTTGTATGGCCTGAATACAATGACAAGTGTGCATGGGCCGCTGCACCGGAGCCTGGGTTTAGTAGTGTTAAATAGGCAAGGGTTCCCACATCAAAGATGAATGTGGGTAAAGAAGCTAGTCTATGAAACTAAAATTAGGATATGAATTTGGAATATAGGCTCCCTTGTAGGAAAATTAATGGAATTAATATATATTATGATTCATTGGAAGATAAATATTCTATGCATTCAAGAAACTAAATGGGTTAGAGAGAAAACTAAGGAGATTAATAATTTATGATATAAAATATGGTATTCAGGTAGGAGTCGTACTAGAAATATAGGTGTGATTATAGATAAGAGTTTGATGGATAATATTATAAAAATTAATAGAATTGGAGAGAAAATTATAGTTTTAAAGATTGTTGTTGATGCTAAGATTGTTAATATTATAAGTGCTTATGCTCATCAAATAGGTTTAAATATGAGTTTAAAATTAAAATTTTAAAATGACTTAGAAGAATTAATACAGAATATACCTTTTGAAAAAAGAGTTTTTATTGGAAGAGATTTAAATGGACATGTTGGTAGAGAGGTAGATGATTTTAAAAGCATCCATGATGGCCATGAGGTTGGAACGACAAATGAAGGTGGTAAGACTATATTAAATTTTTCTTTAGCTTATTATTTCTTAATAGCTAATACCTTATTTAAGAAAAGAGATGAGCATCTTATCACTCATAATGGATATAGTAAAATGCAGATTGATTATTTTTTTATAAAAAAAATAGATCATTTAGATTGCAAATATTGTAAAGTTATTCAGAGTGAAATTTTATTTACCCAACATCAATTATTGGTTTTGGACTTTAAGATAAAGGGTCAAATAATAAAAAATAAAGTAAAATATTTTTTAGAATTAGATGGGGGCATTTAAAGAATATTAATAAAAGTATTTTTAAGAGTAAGATTTTAGATCTTAAGATTCTGTCTATGTATGAGGATGTCAATATTATATGGGAAAAAGTGACTTGTGACATTTCAAAGGGAAAAGCTTTTAATAGTAAAAATAGTGGGTGGTGAAATCCAAATGTGCAAGAAAAAAATAAAAAATAAGAAGATTTGTTATAAAAATTGATTTAGATATAAAAAATCTGATAATTGGGAAAGCTATAAAGAGGCGCATAAGGAATCTAAGAAAGCTATTTGCGATGTAAAGAGCTTAGCTTTTAATGATTTATATAATATATTAGATACTAATGAGGGAGAAAGATATATGTATAAGTTAGCCAAACAAAGAGATAGAAGTAATAAGGATTTAGTTCAAGTGAAGTGTATCAAGGATGAAGATCAAAAAATACTTTTCGTAGAAGATGATATTCAATAAAGGTGGATGAGGTATTTTACTAAACTTTTTAATGAAGAATGTGAAAATACGATTGACTTTAGTGACTTTATCACCCTAAATGAAAATAAAGATTTTTGTTTTTATCGACATATAAGTAAAATCGAAGTTAGAGAGGCTTTAAAGAAAATGAAGCGTCGAAAAGCTGTTGGACCTAATGATATTCCAATAGAGATATGGAAATGCTTAGAAGATGAAGGAATTTCTTGGCTTACTAAATTTTTAATACTATTTTGAAGACTAAAAAGATGCTAGATCAGTGGAGAATGAGTGTTAATTCCTATTTTTAAGAACAAAGGTGATGCACAGGAGTGTGCGAATTATAGAGGAATTAAGTTAATGTGTCATACTTTGAAACTATGGGAGCGAGTTATGGAGTATAGGTTGCGACGTGATACTAATGTTTCTCAAAATCAATTTGGATTCATGCCGGATAGGTCTAATATGGAAGCCATACATTTATTGAGAGGTTTGATGGAGAAATTTAGAGAGAATAAGGAGGATCTTCATATGATATTTATTGATTTAGAAAAAGCATATGATAAAGTTCCAAGAGAAGTGCTATGCAGAGTTCTTGAAAAGAAAGGAGTTAATAATGCTTATATTCAAATCATTAAAGATATGTATGTAGGAGCTATTACTTGTGTTCAAACACAAGGTGGTTTGACCAAGTATTTTTCTATTTCGGTTGGATTACATCAAGGATCAACCTTAAGTCCATATCTTTTTGCTCTAGTCTTGGATGTTCTCACTAGACATTTGCAAGAGGATTTACCTTGGTATATGTTTTTTGCTGATGATATTCTTCTTGTTGATAAAACTAGAGAGGGAGTTGAAGGTAAACTTTAATTATGGAGGTCAACTTTTGAGTCTAAAGGCTTTTGCTTGAGTAGATCTAAAACTGAATATATGGAGTGTAATTTTAGTAACAAATTAGCAATAGACCTAGTGAGGGGATTGTGACTTTGGGCGATCAAGTCATTAAATTACACGTTTTAGATATCTTGGATCTATTGTTCAGAGTGATGGTGAAATTGATGGGGATATTATCAGCAAAATTTAAGTTGAATGGTTGAAGTGGAGGAATGCACCGGGCTTATTGTGCAATAGAAAAGTCCCCCTCAAACTTAAGGAAAAATTCTATAAGATGGTGGTGAGACCTGCAATGTTTTATGATGTCGAATGTTGGCCATTAAAAGAGAAGAATAATACTAAGTTAAGTGTTGCAGAGATGAGGATGCTTAGGTGGATGAGTGGCTTGACCCTTAGAGATAGGATACGAAATGAGTTTATACATGAAAAGGTTGGAGTAGCTTCAGTGAAAGATAAGATTAGAGAGTCACCTTAGATGGTTTGGTCACATTAAACAGAGGCCTTCCGATGACCCGGTTAGGAAAGTTGAGGTATTAGATTTGACTTATGTTAAGAAGAGTAGAGGTAGACCTAAAAAGACTTGGTTAGAAAATATTAGAAATAATCTTTCTTTATTAAATTTAAATGAGAATTTGACTTTTAATCGGACACAATGGCGAAAAAGGATTCATGTAGCCGACCCCACGTAGTGGGGCAAAGGCTTGATGTTGTTGTTGTTGTTGTTGTTGGCAGATTTGGGAGAGGGTTCTTTGGGTATTTGTTGTGCTTTAAGAGATTTTCCTAGGGTTAGGGGTGGGTCTTTTTTGCTAAAATTGTAGTGTTTCTCGGGTGCTTTGGGCTCTAGCGGTGTCTAGAGATTTGAGAGAGCTGGATCTTCCTCTACAATTGAAGATCCAACTCTAATCTTGTCTTTTATTTTATATATAATCAAATAAAAAGTGTTCTTGAATGTTATTCTTCTTCATTTACTTGTTACCAATTTCTGTTTTGCTAAAATTGTAAATTCAGCCAGGTAATTTCATAAGTTCTAAATCCACATCCTATCAGAATTTTGATGAAAGAATCCTTTAGGTACATCCTATATGAATTCTTGGGATTCTCTAACTTAGCTCAAGCATCCCCTTTTTATATCATGCATAGGTGCAATTGTACCTTAAAAAGTTTGTACTTTAATTGACTGAAAATTTTTATTGCTACTTAAGGAGTGGCCTATCAGTAGGTTTAATTTATATTTCTCTTCTCCCTTGGCTTTTCTTCCTTCACCTTTTGTTACCAACTTTATAAATGTCATTTCCTCTACTTCCCATAGGCTTTGAAGTTCTAGAGTAGAGAGAATTCCTTCGAAAAATTTTTTATTACGAATGTTGTATGTGACATTCTTCTAAGTTGGTTTATTGAACATTATGTTTTACCACTTCATTCTATTTTCCCTAGGTTTAGGAGTTCTAGAAGTATGGAGAGATCTCTTGAAAAAGATGTTGTATATAACATCTTTGATAGGTTGATTTGTTGATGGAGTCTTCTTGATCATACGTGTAGCGTGAACAAACATTAGAAGAGTGTGAAATTGAATGGGTGACGAAGTTGCATGAAGCCAATTAAGAAGCACATGATAAAGTTGTGCCAAGAAGTATGGGCGACAAGGTTGGCTAAGAAGAGGATAATAAAGGTTCATGTTAAGATTTGTGTGATTATGTTGATTCAGGAGCGGGGATCACAATTCCATGTAAAAGGAATATAGTAAGACTTGCGAGGATCAAGCGTCAAAGCCACCTGGAGTACAGGTGTGAGCGACAATGCTGGTGAGGAACAGGTGTTGTAGCCATATGTAGAGTTGTGGATAATGAAGCAGGCGTCAAACTCGCATAAAGATGTGTAAGCAAAATGATCACTTGGATGTTGAAGCGGCATGTACTAGTTATACTCGAATAGTCTATAGCATTGTAGAAGTCCTTAGATTATGTGAAAATGTTTAGATTGTTTGTTAAATGTATCACTCAACGTATTAATGTTCTTTATATATAAAAGCTTCATTTGGCCTCCAAAAGAATTTTTTTCTGCTGCTTTCTACCATATATTTGTTCTTGTTTAGTCTATCAACTTGTAGGAGAACCTCTTGTTGGTTTGGGAAATGTTTGAATTTTAAATGAGACAAAGTTTACCATACAATTAAAATTCATCAAATTCTAATTCATAATCTTATAACAGATTGATTTTCTGACAACTGTCTATGTGGATCAATGATTTTGTCAAACTAAATAATGAAGGCGGTTTCATGATCAGTTGATTTTCTCCTCCGGAGAACTTTGGTTTGCTGGAAGCCTGTTTCAATAAGAAGAGCATGAGTAGCTATTCTTTCTGTTTCAATTGAAAATTAAATTGTTAAGAATTTTCTTCAAGAGGTCATACTAGAACTTTGGTGGAAAATTGACCCATCGACTTGAGTTTAGGCATCCAAATAATATTTTGAGTAAGCATCTATTGCTAACCTTTTTGAAGGATTAAAATATATCCTCTGTGAATAGCTCCTTTTAAATATTATAGTTGGTGTTCCACTAATGAATCAATGTTAGTAATTGTCCCTTGGACTTAATCAACTCTTGCATGGCTGTGACTTAGAAGAGCTTCATGGCAGTGCTACCGAACCTTGCCCGAGGCAATTGAATCTACAAAGGATGTGACCATCCTCTAAGGTGTTGATTTTTTTTTTCCTGTTAATGTAGTTTTTAATGAGGTTAAATTGAACCCGTCATAAATCAATTGCTTCTAAATGAAGCCATTCTCTTTTCATATCAGCGTGAATAAAACATAGAAGGAAGCATGGCAAATTTGGCAAACCCCCTTTTTCTGTCTTTCCATATGGTACAAAATAGGAAGAAAAATTTGGATGCTTTATGTAATCAAGGATGCAATTATTTTTTTCTTTAGAAGCTGTTTTTGAGGAGAATCGATGATTGAATTAGAAGTCCATGAATCTATGATTTGATTATCAATCCCTATTGAACAAGGAATTTTATGTGTTCCTCTTATTAATGAACATCTAATGTAAATGTTGTAAATATGTAGTGGTTTTGTAGTTAAAAAAAAGGTTGATTAAATTTCATTATGACTGTTAGTTGAGAGCAATGTAAAGATAGAATTTCGTAGTTCTCTCCTATTAGTAGACTTGTGAATCTTCCTAGAAATTAAATTTATCTTCATATTATTGTCCTTGTGAATAATAATATTATCACTTGCCTTATTCATATCTTCATCCCTTTACATTCATGTATCTTCCATCATGCTTTGGCTTGGACTTTATTTGGTTTCACTTCATGACCAAGATACATACACATGTATGCTCACCTTCTATATCATGAGGCCACGACCTTGCATAAGAAAAAGGTGTCTAGGGACTTCTAAAAATTATATAGAGAGGTAGAGAATGAGTCATTATGATCCATTACAAGCTCTTGAACAATTTGTTATTGTATACCTGATATATATTGTTTGCTTTGAAGGACAAATTATTTAGTCAAAGATCCCTTTCAACCATAACTATGCCTTAACATTTCACATCGAGACTATAATCTAGATAGGATCTTTAGCCAACACTATCAGACTGAGTTACTTTGCTAAGGTCAGAAGCATCCATCTTAGTATCCTTGAAATTCTTCCATCTTAGTATCCTTGAAGTTCTTCTTAATAAAAGGAAGATGCTTTGATTGCCTTCCAGTTCTTCATGGGGATTTAAGAGTTTCTTAGAAGTGATGAATCTTATCCTCAGAATGGATATCTCATGCTTTCTTCTCCTTTGATTATGGATATTCTTATGTGCTTAGAAATGAACCTATGTGAAATAATGGAAATGAGTTGGCCAGTTGTGCAGCAAGGAATAAGTTGGATGTAAATAGTGTAGATGATAGCTTACAGAGGAGTAGGTAGGGATGTTGTATGAATAGGTGCGAGCAGAGAAGCGACATGTAGAATGTGTGGTTAGAAAGATGCATGAAGAAGCACAGGCAATGATGTCAGTTGTATAACGAGCATTAAGGTTGAATGTAGTGCTCTTTTTTAGGTTTAGATGGAGTAGACTAAAGTGCATATCATTATGATAGAAAGTGAATGCTGAATTTGTGAAAATATGGCTAAATAGTGATTTCAGCATACTAGAAATTGGAAAATCAGAGAAATAACTCAAAATAAGCTTTTTTTATTCAAAATAGCAATGAAAGAATGACAAGATACAATTTCGTCAATTGGAGAGGAAGATCTGGCTCTCCCAAATCTCTAACTGCCAGCTAGAGCCCAATCAGCCTACGACCAATTTAAATTCAATAAATAACATTATAATCATGAAATCACCCTATTGTTAGCCTTAAATAGGTTTCCATAATTTCCTCTCAAATCGGCCCCCTTTCCCTAAATAATCCAATCTCATATCTGAATTCAAATCAAATCTCTTGTCCTAAATAATTTCCTCTGAATTGTAATTAAAACTTTCCTAAACAATTTCTCATTTATTCTGATAGGAAATATTTGAAGAATTCAAGTAAATCCTAACAAGAGTGGAGAAAAATGACAAACAAACACAAATTTAAAAGTGAAATTTTATCCAAATAACACCTTGATTGATGTAATTCAACTAGAACGAATAAACCAAGCAAGATACAATTGATCTTCAATTTGAGAGGAGGATATTCTCTCCCAATCTTTAGATGAATCTTGGGCCCAATACTCTAAGAACAAGAACTCTCAGATCAACCACCAAAACATGCATAACCTTAACCCTAAACAACTGTTCCTATTTAATACATATTTCCCTAATTTCAAATACCGATTCAAATCTTCCCTCCCTCTCCTAGCCGCCCCCTACTTCTTTCCTAGTTGGCTAGCCTAGTGGGCCCACTAGGCTTGGGCGGCATACCCCAAAGGAGGTTGTTTGGTCCGCCTACTGTAGCTGAGAACCAGCCTTTGCAGGGCCAGTTGGGGTTCGGCCGGTTCAGCTTGAGCCAGCCTAACAATACCGCCCTTCCAAAGAATCACCTTGTCCTCAAGGTGAAAGGAGGGAAATTGTGCTTCACCCTCTCATAAGGCTCCCATGTTGCCTCATAATCTAGAAGATCCTTCCACTTGATCAACACCTCCTTATCATTTCCCGCTCCCTAGCACACCCCTTGTAACTCAGAGGGTTCCAACATCACTTCAAAATCCTCAGTTAATGTCTCATTGATAACTCAAACCTGGCTGCCTGCTAGTAAATCAAACCTGGCTTCATGCTCTCCAATCGTCGTCCTCAATTGTGAGACATGGAAAACAAGGTGTATGTTTGTTGTTGAAGGCAATTTCAGCTTGTATGCCAACTCCCTTATCCTCTCCAGTACCTCAAAAGGTCAAAAATACCTTGTTGCCAGCTTCTCTTTCCTCATATTGGTGATGGTCTTCTGCCTGTAAAGTTGGATTTTTAAGAATGCCCCTTTCCCCCACCTAAATTTGGAAATCCCTCCTATTCCCATTGACATGTTTCTTCATAATCTGTTGGGCCGTCAATAAATGCTTCTTTAATTCTTCCAGCATCATATCCTTATCTTCCAAATACTCCTCTACGGATGAAACTGGGTGCTTTTATGCCCAAAATATATCAAGTGACGAGGATCTCTTCCATATAACACCTTGAATGGGGTCATCTGCGAAGCATAATGATATGAGGTGTTGTACCAATACTCCGCCCATGCCAACCACCTTGCCCACTGCTTGGGTGTCTCCGACACGAAGCATCGTAGGTATGTTTCCAGGCTTTTGTTGATCACTTATGTCTGTCCATCTGTCTATGGGTGGTAAGCAATGCTCCCCTTCAGTGTTGTCCAGTATGTCCTGAATAACTCCCTCCAAAAATGACTGAGAAATACCTTATTCTGATCTGATACTATAGATTCTGGTATCCCATGTAATCGGAACACCTCCCTGATAAAAACTTATGCCACTGTGAAATGAGCATACTTGCTCAATCTATCCACTATCACCAAGATAACTGTGAAACCCTCTGATTTCGGTAGTCCATCTATAAAGTCCATGAATACCTCCTCCCACGCTCGTCCCGGTAAAGCTTAAGGTTGTAGCAATCTTCATGGGGCATGGCCATGTACTTGTTCTTCTGGTAGATCTCACATCTAGCTTCCTTCTCATCTACATCCTTATGCATTCCCTTCAAATAAAACTCCGAGGAAAGTCTCCTGTTTGTTTTCTGTACCCAGGAATGGCCCCCAATTATTCTCCAATGGAATTCCTAGAGTTGGTGCGGAACATGGACTGATGTCCTAGGCAGCACAAACCTCCTCTGATACAATATCCTCTCCCCATCTAGAGAATACCCTGGGTGGCTATTCTCTTCCTTCAACAAATCCACCCTACTCCTCCCCAACTCCTCATCTTGTGCACTCTCCTCCTTGATGGCCTCCCAGTCAAGCATCAATGGAACTGATACTGCTATCACATGTAACTCCCCCTTGCATCTGGATAGTGCATCTGCTGTCTTGTTCTCAATGCCTCGCCTATAATATATTTCAAAATCATACCCCAACAGCTTGGAAAATCATCTTTGATGCTTCTCAGTCACCATCCTCTATCCCAGCAAGTACTTCAGACTCCACTGATCAGTCCTGATAATGAAGAGCTTGTCTATCAAGTAGGGTCGCCACTTCTAGATGACTAACACAATGGCAATTAACTTCCTCTCATATACTGATTTCAGTCTGGCCTTAGCTGTCAATGCCTAGCTGAAATAAGCAATGGTTGCATGAGTATTGCTCCCAATCAATATCATGAGGCATCTGTCTCTACTATAAAAACTTGAGTAAAATCTGGTAGTTCCAAAAACAGTATAGTGGTCATGACCTTTTTCAAGCTCTCAAAATCAACTGTGGCCGCCTCCCCCATAAGAACCCATCCTTCTTCAACTGTTCAGTTAGTGGCCATGATATGGTAATGTACCCCTTCAAAAACCTCCTGTAGTATCCTATTAATCCTACGTATCCTTAAGATTTTTGGGCTTTGGCCACCTTAACAAAGCCTCAATTTTAGCATAATCTGCCGCCACCCCTTCTTTAGAGACAATGTGCCCCAAATATTCCAGACTAGCCTGAGCAAAGCAACATTTCTTCATACTAGCCTTCAGTTGATGCTACTGTAGCTCCTCCAATACTGATGCAGTTAATACTTCATGCTAATGTTTTTAGATACTTTTATTTTATGTTATTGTAATTTTTTAGTTTAATTTTTGTTTACCCAATGATGGAAGGCAACTGATAAACATATGTGGTTTAGGTGCTCTTTGGACTTATTTTTCCTTTGGTGTGTTAGCTTCTTTGGGTGCTTTGTGTTTGGGCTGAGTTGGGTGATGGGGGTGGATGGTTGATGTCTACTTGGTGTCTGTTCGGTTTCTGTGGCTTTCCCGATTTCTCCTGGCTTGGTTGTTCACTTCGTGTTGTTGTTCACTGGCTTTCTCGATTCTCTTGGCTTGGTTGTTCGGGTCCTGTTGCTTTCTCTTGGCTTTCCCGACTCCCTGGTTGTTCGGGTAGGCT